TGGTAGCAGTAGTGGTAGTAGTAGTCGTCGTCGTCGTAGTAGTAGTAGTAGTCCTGGTAGTCGTACCAACAAGAAGACTAAAAGCAGAGGAGGGCGAAGAGGACAGCGGTCAACAATCCGGGTCACTAGTCGGCCTGTTCTCCAAAACTTCAGTTCTGGCATGTGAGTAGTGCCTTGACTTAGCAAGGCTTGTGACGTGAACCTCAGATGGCTCAACCATGTCAAAAACATTTCTTCCCCTGCGCAGAACCACTCAGGTGTTGCAATCCCTCTGTCCCCGGCGTGCACGCAGGCCTGCGGCACAAGCATTGATCGCAGTGCTGTAGCCGATGGTGTCGGGCACAACCTCCTCACGTAAGCAAAAGAAAATCTGCACCGCCCCTCCTTTGCCACACAAGGTCCCGGCCGAGCACTCCCGTTCACATATGGGATTGAGGCACTTCAGGCTGAAAAACAGGCCAAGGACCACTGCAGGACTTAGCAGGCCTCTCTTATGCCCAGCGCACCCACACTCGAAAACAGCAACGCTAAGTTCAGGAGCATGGAGCCCGTTCACAGGCCCTGCAAACACGAACAATGATTCGACGCAACACCCACGACTCTGGCCCGTAGGACAAAGGCCGAGGGGAGGCCTCCTCTTGCATGCGCTGTAGCAAATGCAAGGCCAGTCCCCACTCCATCTTCTGCTGCGTTGCATCCAATACCTGGCGAGGGGCACTGGCATGTGCAGGGTTAAGGTTACTGCTTCCATGGAGATTCTTCTTCTGAACCAGACTACAAACCGGGCAACGTAGAACCAAGCACGAGAAGCATGCAGTCCCAAAATCGAGGCCTTCTTAAAGGTCGTTCTCGCAGCACACTGCCATTTCAAACAGACATCTACATGCAACCCCGGCAACTGCATTCTTCTATCTCTTGAAAGCAGTGAGCCTAATTGCAAACACAGCCCTTTTTCGGAACCGCTGCTCGTGGTTATGGACCTCAATCCAGGACTACCTAACCGCTATCTTCAATGTTGCAAACAACCCCCATCGCCCCGATTTTGATGACAAGCACACGGTCCCTGAACCACCGCATCCCAAGTGGCTCACGAACAAAACCACGCTTCCCGGAAGCCACTAGGGCAGCGCACAGAATTGAAGGTGATCGCTGTCGGCTCCAGCCGATAGAAGCCGAAGTTATTCAGCAGATGTAGCGCCTTCTGCCAAGCGCCGCCTTGCCGGGCTGATTAATTTGTACGGATTCATCTTTGCCCTTCCACGGTCAAAGTCATTGCGGCATGCTGGCACTGATGTCGTTGATCGGGGGTCGCACATACCAAAGTGTAGACAGACTACTCGCCCACCGTGAGGCATCTCATGCAATTCTGCTTTCGACGATTGAATGCCGAATTCACTCTCGGCTTGCCGGTGTATGCACATCTAGTCCATACACATGTCGAAAAATGAAACAAAACATGTTCACATGGAAGCTCGGACACACATCAATACACGCACATGCTTTACGAACACATGCATGCTGTGCATTAGAGTACTGTTTTGTGAGCGGAAGATTACACTGAATAGACTTTGCTTCTTGCACCATGCAACATCACCGGCTGTGCAGTCTCCGCATACGTGTGTGATGCGTACATATTGACTACGCCGCACGAGCCGCACGGCAGAGGCATAGTTCAACTTCTTTTTATTAACTCCATGTCGAGCTGTTCCCCGAAAGGGATTGATGCGACCGCTTGGGAAGGAGAACTGTTTGCTTTCGGGGCTGCTGCTGCTGCTACGACGACGACGGCGACTGAACTACTACCACTGCTACTGCTACTGCTGGAGGCCGACGGGCTGATACTCCCAATACTCGCTGTCACCAGCTGGTGGGTGGAGCATGGTGCCGCTAATTACTGACAGCAGGCGCCTTTGGAACAGGTGCTCACGGCAGCATTGGCCACAACGATGTTGTTGGCCCCGGCCTGGTGTGCCTGGCTAGAGGCCGGGATGCAGCCAGACCATTACGGTTGCTTTGACTATTGCTATTACTATTGCTATTTCCAAAACCATTACGATTGCTATTAATATAACTCCTCTCAATATCGCTTCTACTCTCACTCTTACTGACCCGGACGCTCCGTACAGTTGCCCACGCACTCTGGCCTGGTACATCAGCTTCAAGGCCGCTTCCCAAAGCCCCAACACCTCGCGCTGCTGCGGCGGCTGCAGCTCTAGTGTTGAGTTGAAGGGGCTCTTGCTCCGAAGATGGGCTGGTATACCTCCAGAAATGCTTCAGCTTGATCTTTTCACAAGTCTGAGTTCGCAGGAGTCGCAAAGCAAACTGACTGCAGGGCAGAGTAGGTTGGACAACTCACTTCACTCGAGCCCTTTCCTCAAAGGTGTCCCGAAGTCCAAAATACTATTCCCGACAAGTCTAGTCCACATACTTATGTTGCAATATACTCCCAAAACCCGAGCTTTCCATTCTTTGTTGCTTCGGGCTCCAAAGGTCTTGCCCTGAGCCGCGATGCAACTATGCAAGTCGCACCACCGACCCCAGAGGCCTCACAGGCAGTGATGGCTGCCCCAAAGGCCGTGGCCCCAGGGCACAGGGCCTTTGCGGGGTCGGGATGTGCTACGGCTGCTACGGGACTTCCTATGATACGAATACCAATAATACCAATATAAGGGCTTAGGGTTTAGGGTTTAGGGTTTATAATACCAATAATGAAAAATAGTAAGAGTAAACAAGAACAGTGAGGCTTCTCCACCGTTCATGCGACGGAGGTGAATTGGCAGATGTGGTTGCAGTAGCCATGTTGGTTGCCATCCGGGCCTAGCTTTGACACAAAATACTAGCCAGAAAAAGCCAACAGCGTAAGCATAACGCTAAATATATTCCTATTTGTTAATATAATACATGTATATACACGTACTGTACAATGTGCCGAAATGTAGGTATATCTTCGGCTACGTACAGCTCCGTGCATTTTAAGCTGACCGACCGAAACGAGCTTGCCATTTTCGCGGCCACATCCACTAGCCCTGCAGGTACGACTGCCACTGGATTGACATGGTCACGCAGGTGCAAGTGCAGAAGACCTTGGACAAACTATCAATCGAGATGTCTGGCGGCAGAGTGGCTCTAACCCTATCTTCGATAACTGAACATTACAGAAAAGCTTGGAAAAAACACAACAAAAGATGTTATTGCCCGGCCTCGGCCGACATACCCTCAAGAAGCAGTAGTGCCCGTTGCCACTGCATACCTGATCGATCTGGCAAAGCCGTGGGCCGGAGAAACAGTCCAAGCTCAAACAAAACAGAGGGGAGCGAATTTTAACCAGGCCCCGCCTCTTTCGCAAGAGCTGATAGCAGCTGCGAAGGTGATCCTCCAATACACGGATGCATTGCTGAATGAATTCAAGGGCAAAGCATAGTCAGAGCTGCACTCAAAAGAGGCAATGACGAGCCTCCTTGCATCAATGGGTGAAAAACCCGACTTGAGCATGGACGAGTCATCGCAATAGCAAGAACAGAAGTGGCCGCAGCGCAGAACGACTGCTGCTGCTGCAGTAACTGCAGCAGCTGCTGCCGCCGCTGCTGCTGCTACTACTACTACTACTACGACGACGACTACTACTAATTACTACGACGACGACGACGACGATGACTGCCACTACTACTACTACTACTACTCCTGCTGCAACTACCTTCTTGCAACTGCAATGCTGGATCCTGTCAGACTTGCCCTGCCCAGCACCTGCTGCAGCTGAGACACTCATCTGGCTGCAGAGAACTGGACTCCATCAGCGCCAAAACATAGAGAGATCGTTGCCAGTCGCCACCTCATCACTGCATCCTTCGCAACTCCACATTGCCAAGCCCTGAATACTCAACTGAATAACGGAGCCAAGGCAATCAAGCCACATCGCCCGCAGGAGCTGACAAGCGAATTGAACGTGATCACATCAGCACGGACAAAGTTCCGCTGCCTATGGCTGCAGGGGGCAAAGTGGCGAAACCACCCCGGGCAAACTCCAAACTCAAAGCAGGTAACTAGGTAACTAGATTCGACACTTTATCTCGTGAAGCCGCATCACGTTCAGTGCTGAGGGGCATGTCTTGAACCACAGACAGTGCTGCAGCCCAGAGGCCGTGCCTCTCGAGTGCCTCAGCAGGACGAAGTCATGCTTGGAGCCGAAAAAATAAGATACAGATTGCTCTTTCCGGTTACATAAACCAGATGCTACCGTTGCTCATGTCCATGGAGGATCGGTGCGTGTCTCTGTGCTTTCTCAGGAGGACACGACATTCGATCTGACTGCAATATGCAGCTATTCGCTGAGACTTGGCTTTAAGGATGCCCTAAACCCTAAGCCCTAAACCCCATTCCTCGCAGCCAGGAGGCGCTGAGCAGGCTGTTGTAGGTTACGGCATCTGCCGCCTCACCGAAGCTAAGGAGCAAATCTGTGGCCGCCCTTTCTACCGTCACGACTGAGTCACAACTCCATCCCGATCTTTGGGCTATATGGAATATGGTGTAGTTACAGTGTAGTCCGGCCGAGTCACGAGATGCTGCTCTCGCAGGGCCCCGAAAACCTCCGTGGCAGCTTGCCAGCGGCCGCAGCGGCCGCAAGCGCTGATGGCGGTGTTGAAGCTTACCAATGTAGGCCTCATTCATGGATGCAAGCTCCTACCGACGAGGACAACCTCCACGAGAAAAACAACATTAGCGCAACGGCAGTTGTGCAACGAATCCGCCCAGGCCCTGCGGCCGAGTGGGAAACCTGTTTGGACTGCTGCTGGCGACCCCGCGTGACCTGCTCAAAGCCCCTCGAGCACACCCAACCTACATCCGTGCATATGCATGTGTGTGTGTGTGTGTCCCTCAAGAACGGCTCACGAGATCCTTGCAGTGTTCCCCATGGACGTACGCCCTAAACCCTTTTGCAACAGGCTTCGCACTTCGCCCGGGTCGGACAGCACCCACAGAGCCCCTAAACCGTAAAGCCCCTTGCCGCTTTCGAAACCTAGGCCAAAGATGGACAAAGGTGCGAAGACCCTGGGCGGGTTCACTGGCCGGACTGGAACTCGATCTAAGCACTCGAACGGCCCAAAACACCCTGAATCTGGATGGAGCCTATATAGAACATATAATTACGATACATGTAGTAAGTATTTCATCTGCCATCCCGGGCACTGCAGCCCAGAATCGCACAGTGTCGCCAGCTGCCTGAACAGGACGCGAGAAGCTCTGGCTCAAGGATCAGGACTGCTCGTCGACATGACCGCACACGTCCAGCTAGCAAGTCCAAACCCCACGGCTCACCCCTGCCCCTGCTGGGCACTTGCTTCTGAAATCGCACGCAAGCTTAGATCCTGACAAGCAAATCTCGCATGTATCAAAATGTGCCACATGTCTTGCAAAGGCACCCGAGAGCAAGCTGCCAGCGCTGACCCTCTGCCAGAGACTGCATCACCGTGTTGAAGATAATCACCTCTTGGGCAAACCAGTTACTTCGGGACGTTCGACAAAGCGAGTCGCCAAGCTGCGACTGAGGAGCATCTGCTTGCACTTCCTGCTCCGACATCTGCTGGTACAGTGCCAGCGCACCTGATGTACGGTCTGCGGGCACCGATTGACTCAGCACATTTAGCACCTGCCTGGCTGGCTCGTGACTGCCCCAAGCTGTCATGCACGAGTGTAAACTATGTGTTTCTGGCTGCAAGTCTTCGTACAAGCGGAGCAAGGACTCTACAGCAGCCGAGGCACACTGCCACTGGGCCCCTGCAGCACTGATCGCTGTGCTGTATGCTACCAGGTCCGGCAGCAGGGCCTCATGCGAAGCAGTTTTGAATGTTTAGCTAGCGTTGAAGCCCGGCCTTACTCGTAGGACAATTGCAACCTCAAGGCTATCCTCGGGCAAAAGCCGCACATGGGCTCTGAAGCAGAGGCATGACCCTTGATGCACCAAATCCACGAACTGTCTTCAGCTTCTAGCGGCATGGCTGGTGTAGCTGCACGCCAAACCGCCTGCAGCAAACCCGACATCCCCAATGAGAAAAAGACTTCAAGGGCGGGCCACCGCATCGCACATCTGGGCGAAGGTCTCCACAGCATGCTGCCATTGACCCGCAGTTGCAAAGGTACTCATCAGGTTGCTGAACCTCGGACTGCTGTCGCTGCTGCAGTCTCTCCGCTGCCTCTCGGCTTGTCAGCGACTGTCCTGCGATCCTAAGCTGCTGAGCTCGCGACACGACATCGTTCGGCACGAGGCCTTGCGAATTCATCTGTCTCAGCACCTGGCGCTCGGTGCAAGGCGGGAGGGGGGCAGGGCGGGCGAAGTTTGTGTTGCGCGCGTGGTTCAGGTCCTACACATTTGCGATTAAGTAGACACTCTTGTGCAATATCCCACCAAAGCAGAACTCAATTCTGAATCGAAATTCACACTCCTTCACGCCCCGTCGTTCAAGGATTCATTGATAGTCTTTGCCACAGAGGCCTCCAAAGCAAATGCCCACTGATCGCTGGCACAAGCTGAAAGGGCCAAGCTGAAGGCGAACAGGTCTGGCAGGCACGACTCCTGTGGTGGCACAGCAGGAACGGCAGACTGCATCAACACTAGCGTGCGCCAGTCTTTGCAAGTCCAGATGCACAACATGGCCAGTCGAATACACGTCAAGAAGATAACGACAAGGTAAGCGTGCTGGATTTTGTTGTGGGGGTACTGTTTGGGCTGCGGGCAAAAAAGGCACTTCTTTTGGCTGTGGGTGCGTGGTATTTTAGCTCCGGGTGCAGGGCATTGTTTGTTGCGGCTGCGGGTGCGCGGGTGCAGGGCACCTTTTTGCGGAGGGTGTCTTGCTGCGGATACGGGGCTGCTTGAGGGCGTGCAGAGTTCACCCACTCACTTGCTGCCCGCTGCCTCGGAGCACCCACAGCAAAACAAGCAGCACCCACACACAGCAAAACACAGAAAAAACAAACGACAGCATTGGAATGACATTCATAAAACCGCTTGAACCGGTCCCCACCAGAACATTGCTTTCTACGTCTACGTCGTCTACGTCGACACTCGTGAATGTCATGCAGCTCAACCGGATATCCCCACAAAAAAAGAATCGGAGGCACTGGCCCTGGCCTCTGGCATGTCAGACAGGATCCTCAGCGCCAGTGACCACTTTTGCTTCTTGGCGGCTGCGCCAATGACCTGCGACGGTAACAAAAAACGCGAGATCACAGCCTCGACCTCGCCACAAGACTGCCAAGACTTGCCCTACATCCTCTTGGGCGCCAAGTGCCATCGTGCCAACCGCAAACACCAAAGCTACGAATCCGTGGCTCAAACGTTAGACGGAAGGAAGTCGCTGTAGACGGACAATGCAGTGCACTATCTAACGGCTTCTTCTGTCACCACAGCCAACAGAGGGAGGAGGCAAACGACGAGGACATCTAGCAGCCGAAATCCTGCTGCTCTACGTCAATGCCCAGCGCCCCAACCGTAATCATCCCTAAACTCCCTCAACTGGGGACCGGACATCGCTGTAGCTCCGGACATCTGGGCGGTGGCTGGCCGATTGCATACTTCCTGAGGCTGAAATCACACGAGTTTTGCGCTACCGCTGCTATGATTAGCTTGGACGCCATTTCTACATTGCTATTACGTGATCCTGCTACGAAGTAACGCTCCCTCCTTCTCGCACCACTACCGCTACCACTACCACTAGGGCACCACCACCACCACCACCACCACCACCACGACTGCTACTGCTACTCCTTCTACTACTGCCACTACTGCTACTACTGCTTCTACCAGTACTCCCTTTGCTTCTTCTGTTTTTGCTTCAACTACCGGGGGACTACTGACTACTGCTGCGCCGACTAGTCTGACTGCTTGTCGTCATGTCATTCGGTCCATCGAGGAGGCATGTCATTACACTTGAGACGGCCCTCCTTGCTAAGACCAGTGTGCTTGTCAGCCCATCGGTGCCGCATCCGTCCCTCTCTGTGCAGGGTCTCTCCTCTCGCGATCTTCATCGTTCTCGTTCCTGGCCGCGGCGATTGACAGGGATTGGCATGTGGGGTGCGAAGTCCGCTGTTGTTTTCTGTCTTTCGCTCTCTCTCCCTCCACCCGCCAGAATGCACCGGTTCAATGGACCACATGCGCCTGAGTTCTGCTTCTTCCTTTTTGTGCTCATGTCCCTCTGACTCACGTCAGACTAGCCGGAACAGGGCCTTCGCATGCTGCCAGAGCCAAGTTCCGTACACCGAAGTGTCGTGAATCAATCAAAAACAGCATGGGATTGCAGCTGGATCAGAGACCAAGCGGCGAAGCACCTGTGTGGCAATCACCCACTGCTTGGCCTTGGCGCATGCGCCTCGTGGCAAAGCTAGACGATGGTTTGTCACGACGACAATGACCTATGCGGGGCACATGAACTGCAGCTGAGATTCCAAGCACTGCAGCATAGCTGACGGCATTCCGCTCCAGAGCCTCCAACTAGCTTTGAGGCGGTTCTGGTCGTCTTTTCTTTCAATTTCAAGAAGCCACTATTTGCTTTAAGGGTGCTTGTCCACTTAAAGCATAATTGACACCAAAAATGCCGGAGTTGTTGATGCTTGTCTCCCTGGGTCTTCCTTTCAGTGCCGGAGGGAATTCTAGAAAGAGGAACAAAGCCAGTCGCAGGGTACGTGAAAATTTGAGCGGAAGATGCTGACAAATCTGAGACGGGCAACCAGTCGAAATGGACGAGAATCGACTGGAAATCTTGAGAAACAGAAGCCAACCGCTCGAGAGAGACTAGAGAACTTGGCCCTCGAAGGAATCCCACAGATTCTGCCCAAGTTTGACAAATGGAGCAGACAAACAGGAGCAAACCAGTGGAAAGGGACAGTACAATTTTAGGATCAGGAGCAAACCACCCGAAAGCGACAAGATAATCTTTCAGTCGGGTGTGACTAGATGTTTTCCAAGCAAAAGGAGCAACCCACTCGAAAGATACTAGGAGGCTTGACACCAGAGGATACTTTGAGAAAGAAGAGCCAAACCGTTCGACTGATACTGGAAAGTTTGAATGAGAAGAGAAAAGATGGCAAACCGCTCGAAGGAGACTAGACAATTTGAGAACGAGGAGGACACCGTTTGAGAGAACTGAACGAGTTTTTGAGAAGACGGACAAAGTCCAAAAGGCTATATTTTTGAGAAAAAGTACTCGGACATACAAATGCTCTCGTAAGGGACTAACACTACAACGCTTGTGGAAGTAGCAGAAACAAGTACGTGTGCGCACGGGTGCCGCTAGCTGTGCGCGCAGCTCCCAGAGTCAACCAAAAGACTCCGCTGGAAAGTGAAATGCTGAGACTGTGCGAAAAGACGCAAAACACTAGACAGAGTAGCAAACCACTCGAAAGCACTAGATTCACTAGACACCTTGAAAACACAGCAAACCGATCGAAGCAGGCTACAAAATCTGAGGCGAGAGGGGCAAACCGCTGCAACAGGTACAATGTACCCGAGAGAGTATGCTGAATTGAGAAGGGCAGCAACCCGTTCACAGATCGCAACGAAAAGCAACACTTTGCCCGAACGAGACTGCAAGTGCCCTTTGACTGGTTTGCTCCTTTTTCTCAGAAACTCCTGGTTCTCGCATTCTCTTGTCCTTTTCGAGCGGTTTGCTCCTGGGTCTCGGATTCGACGGTTGGGCCCCCCTTTTTCGCAGACTTCTGTCAAATGCTCTAGTCTCTTCCGGGCGGCTTGACCCTGTTTCTCAAATTTTCGTGTCCGTTTTTGACTGGTCTGCTCGTCTTGCTCAAGCTCTCCTCCATCGAAACCTCCTGCTCTTACACCTTTCCCTCAGGTTTTCAGCTTCTCTCCACCGGCCTGCGCGTCTTTCTCCCATTCTCCGGTTTGTCAAGTTTTTTTTTGTCAACTTCTCCATGCTGCTTCGACCGGTTTTGCCTCTGCTTCTCAACATGTCTAGTCTCCTTGTGACCGACTCGCTCCTGTTTCCAAACTCTCCTGATCGTCAAGTTCTCTATTCTTTTTCCAGCAGTTGTTCCTTAGCTTTAGCTGTTTCTAATTCCCTTGGACTGGTTTGCTCCTCTGTCTCGGATTCCGCTCTTCGTCAACGCTCCAGATTTTTTCGGTGCAACTTGCTCCCGCTTCTCAAATTTGTTCGTTCGCTCTGACATCGCTGGTGTTTTCATTCGACGTTTTTCCCAAATCTTCTAGCTTCTTTCGAACAATGTTGCTTCTGCTGTCAAGTGCTGTTTCTTCTCGTTCCTTAATCTCCTTCGACCGGCTTGCTACTGTTTCTCACATACTCTTGTCCCTTTTCTTTCTTTCTCAAACTCTCGTCGTAGTCAAGTGGTTGAAGACTTTTCGAGCGTTTTGCTCCCGCTCTCGTATCTTCTAGTTTCATTTGGGCCGGGCGTTTTGCTCCTGTCTCACAAATGTGTCCAGTCTTGTTTATCGGCTTGCTCCTCTATCTCAAGCTCTCCTTTCGACACCTGTTGCTGCTTCTCAGAGGTTCGAGTCTCTGTCGGAGTGCTTGGCTCCCTTTCTCAAACCCTGCTGTTGTTTGTCGAAGGTTCTATTTATTCTAGCCCCTTTCGACCGGCTTGCTCCTCTTTCTCAACTTCCCTTCTTTGGCCACTTCTCTGGTCCACGGTTTGCTCTTCCTTCTCGAATTTCTTAACCCGTTGTCCTCCTCATTGTCAAACTTTCCCCTTGTCAGATGCTCTAGTCCTTCTGCTAGAAATTTGAGAAACAGAAGCCACATGCTCGGAACAGGCAAGGGACTTGGCATGGAGAGCTTCAGAAAGGGGAGCAAACCAGTTGGTGGCCAATGCCGGGGCTTTCGACGCTTGCCTTCTAGTGACTAGTGTCTACTCTTGTTTACTGTAGGGACTCTTGCTAAGTCTCACACAGTTACAGTCATATCTCCCTTCATCTTTACCGGTCCTCGATTCCCTGTATTTCGGACTGGTGGGGTGGCCAGGCGACGCTTGTCTCCGCTTTCTTCGCTTGTCCTCCTTCATTTGGGACCGGTGGGGGCGGTCAATGCCACGGACGTTTTGTGCTGCGGGTAGGTGGCCAATCTTCGTGTGGGCTCAGGAAGTCAAAACCAGGTACTGCTCTGGTTTGGCTTCAAGTGCTGGCTGTCTTCAAAGATGTCGTTTCACCGTGTAAGACTGCACGTGCATGGCCTGCCTCGCTGCCCATGTCGGCCAGCATGTGCATGGATGCTTGCCACTCCTGGCCTGATCATGGCAAGAGCTTCAGAGCAAGCCCTGGGAAAGCTACGCCAAGGGCCGAGAACGTGCTGTCTGCAGGGTCAACCGTTCCGGAAACTAGACGGAGCAGCTCCGCAGCCACGCTCATCCCTCGTACAGGTATCTGACTGCAGTTTGAACAAGCCACCTCTGCCATAAGCGATGATGGCCGTGTTGTACACGAAAGCATCTGGCTTCAGGCTTTGCTCCGCAAGCCGGCGGAACTGGAGCGACACCTGATGCCTCTGCACGAGCTACATGCATCTTTGCAGCGGTCGAGGTCACGTCGAACAAACCCTCATGCCCAAAACGGTAAAAACGACTGAAATTCACGAAAGCGCCATTGGTTCCTGCCCAGCTTGGACAGTTGCTTGGTAACTTCTCTGAGCACCTGCCTCGGATAATCACATGAAACGTCTGTCACAACAAACAGAACATGGCAACACCAACTCCGCGGCATACAGCAGGCACCACGAAAGGGGATCTGCAATTTCAGCCACGACTGTTTGCAAAGGGACCTGTCGGCGGCCACCGACTGGCGCCCAGGAACTTCTTGCGCAGCACAGCATCTTCCGCCAGTCCCGATGCTTGGCATGGCCGCGGCACATGCCAGGCGCCATGTCTCGCAAGAATCCCAGAATCCTAAGGGTGTAAGGAGGCCTTTGCAGCATGCAAAACCATGGAAAGAAATCACTCTTGCACCTCGACCTAGCTTTGAGTACCACATCAAGACCCTTCCCCAAGCATGTCCTCTTCGTCCGACTAGCCTCTGGGCTTCGAGGAAGCATTTTCTGGCCATGAGCTGCCAACACATGCTTCGTGTCTCCGTCTTCTGCAGCCAAGACATGCTTAGGCCGGGTTCAACCTCAAGGCAAAGGCCCTTGGCTGGATACGAGTAACGTGATACTCATTCCTTCTGAGTTGAACATTCGTAAGCGGGGGGCGTGACATGCCAAAGTCTAATAGTCTCTACACGGAAACCCTCCTTCACACGATCCTTTTGCAAATAGATCCCTCCGTTTATTACACGCTGTCTTTCATGCTGTCAAACGACGTCTGAGCACATCTCTCAGGCCTGCCATTTTCGCTACTTAAGACCCGCTCAAGTACCGATAGCCAGAAGTTCTCCATACAAATCCCCGAATTACGACGGTGCCGGCCACCTTTTCGTCGCAACCAGCGCTTGCCATCAGAACCAAAAGTTGACAGAGATCGAGGTTGTAACGGATCGCACATAGTGCCAGCATTTCTTCGGGATGAACCTGAGAGCTCAAACTGTTATAAATGTGCACAAATATATATATATATATGTATGTATGTATGTATGTATGTATGTATATATATATATATATGTATGTATGTATGTATGTATATATATATATACATATACATATACACATTCATA